GCATGTGCATATCATGGTAAGCAATTGTTTTTAGCTTTTTACATTAATAAAGATAGCTAAATGACTGCAGAATCTCATTTTCACTTTCGACTGTGAAGACAGTACATTTAGCATTTAACCAGTTTAAATTGATTTATACAGTCCAAGTAAGCATTCAGTATCAACATAGATCCATGGGTCAGAAGTATCTAGTTTATTCATCTCTGTTAATCAAATTAGTTAGATAATTACCAAATCCTCATTTCAATTTGTGGATTTGAGATCTGAATTATCTTGATTTGTTTGTATAGGGTTTTAAAAGTTTAATTTCTATGCTATTAATGGAACTGAAAATAGCATTAAATTATTTTAGAAATAATAGCCTATTCCATTAGTGTCTTTGTAGCCTGTCATATAAATATGTAAATATATGTGCATATGCATTTAGAAAAATAATTTTTCAAATTTTAATGCACAGCAGCATCTTCTGAGACATTATGCTTTGCTATGTAAATGCGTATTTGAATTTCTCCTAAAGTGTACAATATATGCTTGATTTTGTTTCAGATTTGATTTCATGTGACATTACAATAACTCCTAAAAGATTATTTTCCTCATTATTATTCTTTTCCTCATTGTGATTTCCTCATTATTAACTTACATCAATATATGAGTTGTTCTATTGATATTTATCTATATCTTCATATTGAAAATAGAACAGTTGTTCTAGAATATCTGGATATTTTATAAGTTATTTGCATATCATTAAGTGGTCAAGAAAATACACTTTTCACTCAAAGTTGCCCAAGGGTTTTTCTAATAATAATGTATTGTTAGTGCACTCTGTATCAGGAACCAGGAACTGTGATATACTCAAAAGGTATTATCTAGTTAAACTTCCTCACAGACAGATTGAAAGGGATATTATTACTGTCTTTGCTTTCATCCTAGGAAATCAAGGCAAAGATACTTAATAATCTAATGAAATCACACAGTTGAGAAATGATGGAGCTATAATGTTTATCTGGCATGGTGCCTATATATTTGCCATCAAACATCATGATAATGAATTATTATGAAGTTAGCAGGCCAAAGTACTGAAGTTAGCAGACCAGTATAAAAAGTTGAAAAGATGTGAATTCTTCCTTTGAAACATTACATTTCCAAACAATGATATAGTTAAAGCTAAAATTTTGATAATCAAGTTTTAAAACTATTGACTTAATAAGATAACTGTTTACTAATGAATCAAGTTTTCTCTTCTATAACAGGAATAAATCTCTGGTTCTAAGTACTTGTTTAACCAGCACCATTAGTTATCTTTTCCTTGGCCTTTTTTTTTTTTTCCTCTTTGGTAATGTGAAGGAGAGCCTCATTTTAAATTCAGCAGCCTAATTCTGAAGTTGAATAGTTCAGTTACAGAAGCTTGCTACCTTTTAGGTTCCCAGGGGCAAAGTTTAAGTTTCCATCCAGGCTTGCCTGAGCATGGGAGGATGGATTACTGGGGTCCGCCGTGGTTGAGTAACAGCCACTCAAGCAGAGAAGAATTTTTAAAGGGACTGGGAGGCCCATGTCTTGAGATATATATATATATATATATATATATATATATATATATATATATATATATATAGAGAGAGAGAGAGAGAGAGAGAGAGAGAGAGAGAGAAAATTTCTTCTTTGAATTAGAGCAAAAAAAAAAATTAGACAAAACTTTATACTCTTGTGCCTAATAGTTTATTCCAGTTTGCTAAAACAAAAATAGGTCAGAAACAGAAACTGTTGGCTTAAAAGTAGCCCCCAAAAGCACTTAATAAGAACATTTTAAAAAATCATATGTACCATTAAAAATAAATATCAAAATAAGTAAAAAAAAAAATAACTCAAAAGACTTCCTACCGTCTCTTTGAGCAAAATAAATCATCTTTGCTATTTATTAAGATACTTTTCAATTATCCAGGTATTCTGAATTTCAAAAGTTGTGAGAATCTTATTTTGTAATTTCTCCTTTCACTTTTTAGGCATATTACCCATCTTGTTGAGTCTGGCCAGTTTGCCTGACATTTGCTTGCCTTCCCTTATGTGGTATCCCCGAGTATCAGCTGTTTCAAAGATAAACCTTAGTCCGATGCATTTAAGTAAAATTTTGTCTTGAAGTTCACAAACAACACATGATACCTAATATACTGCATATTGTGCATGATTGTGTGTCTCGATTTCAGTGTTTAATTTTTAACTATACAGCCATGAAACCTTTCAAACTGCAGATAGAACTTTCAAATTTGAATTGCATTTTTTCAGGGGATTTGGGCTCTTGGTTACAATGATGGTGAACTATATTCATTGGCTCTGGAAGAAATTTTAGATCAGTTACAAACATCCAAAACCTACTGCTAAGTGGCCAGAGCTCTGATCCAACTTTAGCTGTTATATTGTGAAAAGTGATTCTATAATGTAACTGCAACAAGAACTCCTGAGATAAATAAAGTGTCAATTCATGGCATGCAGATGTGTCACTGGTGTAGGGGTGGGGGAGCGGGGAAAGAGATAAAAAGCAAGGAATGGATTCTTGCCAATGGACTTTACAGTTTTGAAGTAATTAGTACACTGTGCAGGTGTCTATTAAAACTAACTGACAATAAATCTTGATTTCTCCTTTGAATATTGCTTTGGTTTCACAAGTTCCGTGCCTCAAGGGGCAAAAGAAAATGACTCCAAGATTAATTACCACAATGGCTTATTCCCAATAAGAAACTTAACAGACTGTTCTTTTTATTTGAAGTTTGTTACTTTTGTTATTATTAATACAACTCCTAAAACAGATTATGATTTAATCATTCTAGAAGACCACTGGACAAAAATGGTATGTTTCCAGGTAAAGGAAGATCTAGCATTAGATCTTTAAGCTGACAATTCTTTGGTTTATCAGAAGTCACTTCTCCCAGGGAGTTCCCCATGCAGATTTCTTCTGCACAGCATTTGAGGAATACCAAAGTTGGAACAAGGTGCCCAGGGCTCCACTGCCTACCGGTTCTTCAACAGAGTAACTAATTGCAGGTAAACTTAGCCACAGAGTGACATTTCTCTTAGCTCCTCCATCTGCTCTTTTTTTTGACACCCCTGCCATTAACTGTCATTTTCCTTTAAATATACGCTGAATCTGAAAGGCCAGCTCTACATCACATCATTTCAGATTAGGGGCAGTTCCTTTGAGTTGAGTACTGTTTAGGTGTCAGAAAGAAGTCCCTGACCTCTCTGGAACCACATTGCCGCGGGGCCTTAATTAGCACTGACTCCAGCCATTACTGAAGAGAGCACAAAGGAGAACACATCATTTTTCTACTTAGGAAGTTAGTGTCTGACCTAATAACTTGTCCAAACTCGTAGGACATTGTAACCACAGGATAACGATGGGCCTTCTATACCAACCTCCTCCTCATGTGAAGTATAGAATGAGGCACAGAAGGAGAAGGAATTATGGTTACTTCCCAAGGAACAGTATAGAGTTTTCATTGCCTTTTGGTTAGTAGAAATAGTGACTGCCTTAGAAAAAACTTGGAGATGGCTTATATACAGATTTTGCCACATATAGGCACTGAAATTTATTTTAAATTGTTCCATGCATATCTGTGTATTTGTTGATCTACAAAATAATTTAAAAATAGTTTTCTTATTGCAAGAACAATTTTTAAAAGATAAATGAACTATTTTGACTTTTAAAAATCCCTTTCTATTTTGATTGTAAACAGAGAAAAGCCTTCAATTCATATTTTTTAAAAATAGACTCATTTTAAGAAACACATTGATTTGCTTTTGGCCTTCTGTAATTCCTTCCAACAGATGAAATTTTGAGGGCTGTACATTGGCTCCTATAAAGATAATTTTACTTTACCCACCTTTGCTAAGATCAGAATCCCTAAAATATAATTTAATATAATTGCCAGTTTGGGTAGACTCATTTAAATGAGTAGTTGTGTGAAAACAAAACAAAAAAAATGAATTGGCCTGTAATTTCATTTTGTTCATTTTTCTTTTTGTTTTCTTTTTTTTTTTTAATTTCCTCTTTCCTTTTATCTCTTTCTTTCCTTTAGAAATAACCAGTCTTGGTGCTACTAGTCAGATCATCATTATTAGAGTCAACTGCTGACTCAAATGAAAGCACCAAACAAGGAGAAAAATAGAGTAATACTTAGGAGTACATAAGACTATTTTGATTAGGAAAGCCCTTTCAAAGTCACTGCTGAAGTAATTAATGCACTCCACTTAAAATTGATTCTCTTGAATAGGAAAACCTGACCTGATGCCCACTGGGCCCTTCTCTTCTGAGTCATAAACCCAAACAGCATTTAAAGTATTTCATTTTAATGGAACTCTTTCCCTTATTATAGCAATGTCTCTGTTACTTCTATCAAAAGCAAAACCTTTCCTTGATTTATGATTCAGCTATAAATATTTACTCAGTATTATATTTGGTGTGGAAAAAAATTTAAAAATCTTTTATTAATTTTAATAATTTGGAGTTGGAAATATTTTTATGCCATGACTGCTGAAAGGCTAGAATTTTCTGCAGTGAAAAAAGTTAAATATATGTGTTTTCAAATTTTTGGTTGAAAAGACTTAAAGTGAGTCTTGTGGTTCAGGCAGGTCTTGTCTCAGATTCTGTTCTCAGAAGAGGTTCCTATACATGTCTCATTGAGAAGAGGTTCACATATATATAGTATTCAGGAAAATGGGCTTTGGAGAGTTCACTTTCATGTTATGGCCACAGATTACTTCTGCTGTGTGGCAGTGTGTCCCCCTGTGTTTGTTAGACATTTTCACCCTTAAAACAAGTGGTTAGCAATCGAGTCAGTACAATAAACGGCAGTTTCTCTATAGGCTCTGAATGATAAAACCAAACTGGAAAAATATCTCACACAGACCATAATTGTTCCCTCTCTTTAGTCTTAACATTACTTATTTAAGTAATAAATAAATTTCTACTTTAACCAAAGTACAAAACCATCCACTCAAAAAAAGGATTAATTGTAGATTTGTAGTTTTACTTAATGATAATCCTTTATCAATATATTTTATGTGATTATGTACCAGCAAAAAACAGCCTATCAGACTTCTTCAAATCTAATTAAAACAGAAAGAGATGGAGAAAGTCCCCAGTCTGTCATTCTTCCTTTTTAGAGGACAAATGAAACCTTTCCCCAGTTGAAGCCCATCTCAGTGGACATTTTCACAATCATGATGTCTGGCTCAGCTGTCAGTCTGCCAGGAGAGACTCAAGTACAAAGTAGGTTCCTCCAGGAGAAATATAAGCAGTCTCTTAAAGTCCTCAGGAAAACAGAAGTCAAGATGCAACCCCAGCTGTTTCATCTCTCCTTGCAGTAATGACACCTGATAACAGAAGGAGAAATGATAAAATAAAAATCAGTGAAAGTCTGAGTTTGGAAAGTAAAGGTCTCCTTTTATTAAACAATATAGGGAAAAGTACATTGGTTGCCACAGAAAAGAGCAGCTCTAGTAATTTGAAGCCTTCTTATTCTTCATAACCAAATTTGGGAATTTAAATAAAGTACTAATCAAGTTGTCCCATGTCACCCCAGCTTGTTTAGGCTTTGTATTGTTAGTTTAAAATTTATTGTTCCATTTTTATGGAATATACACCAAGGCCTATTCTAAATACCTTTGTGAAAACTGAAAAAAAAAAGTTTTATCGCAATATTGAAATCTTTAGAAGAAAAGGGGTCAAAGGATTTGTATGAGAGTTTGAAGAGGGGGAAAAATTAACTTATCAAAAGGCTACCTGAAGATGATCATAGAATTTCCAAAGTCTGGGAGCCTACATTTTAAAATAAAAGTAAGGTAAGCCAGCCCATCAACTAACTGAAGTGGACATCTTATATAGGGAAATAATGGAAATGATTTTGAAAGATCACTGTAGTCAGACAGCTGACTGTTGCATATTATAATAATAATTTCATTTTAGAATAGAAATTACATAGATGGTCTGAGGCTGGGGAAGGGAGGAGAGAGATCTGTAAGTACATACTAACAAAATGAATTGGGTTTACTTTCCACTATAGTATACCTTCAAGGAAATTCATTTTCTAGAAAAATCTCTACTGAAAAAATAAAAATGTGGGTTTTGGATCCTTTATGGTAGACATACGTTGTCTGTTAAGGATCAAGACCTATCCTTGGGGCTCTGATGTGTATGCTAGGATTTGCTTTGTATTTTAATTGCCATGATCCGACTTTCAGCTGGGCTTTGGGGTGGTGAAGATGAGTGACACCATGGTTAGGCAAATGCACCATAGCACAGCAGTGATCAAGTGCTGCCTGGAAGAACAAGAGCCAGCTCTAACTGTCTCACCACACTACTCTGGACATTTTGAAAACCAGCACCCTAGGTAGTTCTGAACTGCTTGAGTAACCTTTTTTTTTTTAATTTCTGTTTTTTTAAAAACAGTTATTACCACTTCTTCTGATAATATTTCCAAAACTGGGAAGAGAAAGGACAGAGTGATTGACCACACTGTGAAGCATTATAAATATGGAAGTTTGTTTCCCCATTTCTGATTTTCTCATCCTGCCTGTCTTTTTCATGTGACTGTCTACATTGGTTCATTGAATGATTTCAAATAGAAGCTAATATTTCTCAGGCACAAGCAGTGTGTGACTGTGTCTTTGATAACACTGGAAAGAGTGATTGTGTCTCCTCTAGTTTCACATAGCCACATCTAGGACCCATTCACCAGGCAGCAACCAGAAGCTGCTACGACTGCAGCATGGCTGCTGATTGGGCAGGAACCAGGATACCAGAGGGCCTGCAATTGCTGCATGTGCCATCCATCCATGTATTCTGCACATGGCTTGCCCTATGAGCAGTGCTGGGTTGTTTCACAGTTGGCTTAGAACTGGAAATTGAAAACCCACTTTGTTGGGCCTAAACACATGAATTTGGAAATGACTTTTTCCAAAGGCACTGCTAAGATTTCTTTAGACGATTGCTGATCTCTCTGATAAATAGACACTTTTAGAGAACAACTGATGAACCTGCAGAGATTCCATTTATAGAACCACATGATTGTGTCATAAATGAGCCAGACTCTGGAAATGCCGAATGAACACAAAGCTCCCGCTCTACACGGGGCCTCTGGCCTGGTTTTTCAATAATATTATGCGATAAAAATGGCCGATGAGCAATTCTCATTGTGTTTATCAAAATCTTAGTGTTTGTTATTGTCTATGAGTAGTATATTTTCTCCAAACTGCAGATTAGTTTTAAGAAACATCTGGTTTTAAGCAATATTTAGTCAGTCTTTTTACTTACTTTAATCAACTCGTTCTGCTGAACAAGGTATAGAATTGATAGCTGCTATTGATTGGATGTAGCATTACCTAATCTTCACTAAATGTAGGAAGCTTTTCAGATTCAGAAAGGTGGCAGAAAATGTCTAGTAATGATGCTGCTGGGAATTCAAGCTCGATACTGTGGTCAGTGTAAAAATGATGTAACTAGAAGAGGTATTTTATTATAAGCCTGTCAGTTTCACTAAATGTTTGACCCTGTATAATTTGTGGAGTTTTAGGGTGTGGTGCACATGTGTGTGCACGTATGTGTGCATATGTGTGTATGAGAAAGATTAGTATATTTAACAGGATGTTTTCAAATTTCAATCCTTTAAAATGTTATCAGTGATTTGTGTTAATAGTAATATGTTTCTACTTTTGTACAATGGGAAGCTAATATTGAAACTTAAAAAATTTGCAGATAAAAAACAATATGGGCACCATAGAATGGGAAGAAAATTGCATTAGGAATTCAATACAGAGGAAGGGTACACGAAATCATTACTAAAACAGATATAAACGTGACCTTCACTGTGGTTCAGTAATTATCCTGGTCCCCACTATGGTGTATGTATCATGATTTTCCTTTTTTCTCTTTGTTTTCATTTTTATCTGGGTACTTCACTGGTGAGTAATTGCTAAAGGGAACCCATTATGCAAGGCAAGCATTCAGTTTGCAAGTGAATTTGCTTGTAGCTATTGCCACATTTGAACCTCACTAATGTATGTAAATTAAAAACTCTGGTATTCGGAATTGCTCCTGTTTGAAATAAAAACAGAATCTGATCATTACAATCTGCAAGCCAGGTATTATCACTGGACTAGTGAGCCGCTGATGATAAATTGTACCGAATAGCTTGTGGATAGAATATTTTATCTCAGTTCTCTATCACACAGCACTGCATAAAATAAGAATGATTCATCAAGCATGAGAGCTGCTGGTTTATGAAATTCATTGCTCACGGCAAGTGTATTTTTTAAAATTCAAAAGACAAAGCAACTCACAAGGGTTATTTAGTAATCAGTGTGAATTACTTCTAGGTATAAACCTTAGTAGAAAGGAATTAAAAATACATTTGCTGTACAGGAAGCATTATTGCAATAGGGGATATAATTTGACTACTTCCCATCTAAGAGCCTTATTTTGACCACATTTGATTTGGATGCCACCTCATTTTTTAAAAATCAAAATTGCATGATCTGTTCTAATGGAATCATGCATTGACTAAGTTGGTGTCACACTTGGACCACATGCATTTGCATCATCCGCAGCTCCCTTATATGCTTAGCCTGCAGAGGATATTTTGTTTATTCAAAAGGACATGTAAAGAGGAGAGGCACAATATAAAGTCATCTTTCTTTCATATTTACAATAAGAATGTTTCATTTCTTCTTGTGTATTGATGTCCCAAGGCAATGTTCCAAATGAAAAGATAATAACTTATGAAGAAGTGTCAAAAACTAATTAAGTTTTGTAACTTGTTTTTCCCTCACACAGGGTATATTTTTCATCACACTGTCCAGTCACATGCTGAGATTCTTGCTAACATTATCACATGCCAGTCACACCAAGTCTCAGTGGTGCCTCTCCTTCTGTCATTATTTTCAGCATCAATTAATTTTCTTCTGACCTCGCCTTTAGAGAATGTAGCAGAGAATTATCAGCACATGCTTTGCACTCTATTTTGAAGGCATTAGGCCACTGTGTGCATTCAAAAATGGAGTCAGCCAAACATTATATTTTCTCACCTGCAGGGTTGCCTAGTAACCTGAATTAAGGATTTTCACCAAGCCTTCAAGACAAATAAACACGACTGGAAGGCAGGTTGACCCAGGTGGAGAGTCAGACCTATTGATGGAGAGCAGAATTTTGAACGAGCCAATAGAAAACAAAAATCCTCATTAACATTCATTGTGGAAACAGTTTCCATAACTAAATAAATCGGTTTCACCAGGCAAAGGGAACACTCAAGAACAGGATTCTCTCTCACCCATGTTCAAGTGTTTATTAAGCTGTGTTTTGATTCTTCCTTTAATCTCACTATCTCTTTGATGGCTAGAGTGTACCATTTCTATTTCTTTAATGAAGTATTGATTATTTTGTGAAAATATTAAAACACCACCTAGAAATGCTTCCTCCTCGTGGTGTGAATGTCAGTTCAGTCAGGGAACACCTTCTCGCCTTGTTCTGTATATTATCTAATTATCTAGACTGCCTAGATACCTCCCCTGTTCTTTCAGCTGGTACTTGATCACTACAAGAAAGCAGACTTCTAGTTTGGCTTTTGAAGAGAAAGATGAGGGTGTTCTACCGAGGTGGGGTTGGTCTTTGTAATATTGTTGCCATGTGTCCTTGACACGTGGGATTCTTTTAGGAGTGTGCACATTCGCTTGCGTGTTGTGGGGAGGGTCCCACGGGCAGGGAGAAGGCGCAGTCTCTCTCCTGAAAGGTACAAAGCCAAGGAGTCGGACAATTAGGATGTTGGCACATCCTGACAGTCCTCTGCAAATGATGGTGTCAGGCCACAGAGGGGCTGAGGGGGGCAGAAGTGACATTCACCCCAGCAAGATGGAAATAAACGCCCTGTTTGATAAGAGAAAACAGACAATTTATGTCCACCCTGAAGAGTTACCAGCTAGTGAGCCATTCCTATGGGTCAAGTGCTGCATTTGCATTTTGATGGGATGTTATCAAGTAATTAATGCACCAGTCAGGATTTATTACCTCAGGAGCGAACTGAAAGGTTCATTACAAAATCGGTTTCACTTGAAGATAGGCATTTCCTCAGAGTTAGCTTTTGACATGTTGTTCCTCGCTCTCTCTGCCCGTGGCAGCCATGGTAGAAGGCCAGTGAGGTGAAATTCATTGCTTAATAAGGGCATTCACTTTGGGTATTCTTGTGATAATAAATGTATACATCAAGGCCGCACTGCCTTGTCAGTTTAATTGCTTCTTGTGCTCCTTAACAAGCCAATCTTAATCAGTCTGGACCACGTTATGAATAATTTAGGGATCAGCAGACTTCACGCTTAATAAGATG